CACTAGAAAACCAGAATGGCACTGTGGCTCAAGCAGTAGCATGCTTGCCTTGTGCTGAAGCGCTGAGGGATAGCGCCCAAGCCCAGAGTTCAAGCCCCACGACTGACAAAAAAAAAAAAAGCACAGAAGCAAACCAGGAAAAGAATGTGTTAGCTACCACTAGATTGGGCACTTGAGAGGTGGTTAGTAGTGTTTCTGCTAATGTTCTAAGATTGGCCAAGACGAGACATATATTTCCTGCCTAATTAGAAAGTATTTACACATGACAGCATTACTCTCAGAGGTCTGGGAAAGTAAAAATCACCTTTATGCAGAAAGTATCATTTTCCTTTCTGAAGCTCAAATGGTCAAATGAAATGAGTTTACACAAATGTGGTACATGAATCTCTAATCTTTAATTGATGACCCTGTGGGATTTTAGCTGAAATTTCTACACTATTGATCCAGATGTGTTGGTACCAACTGTAATCCCATCTATTTTGGAGCTGGAGGTTGGATTCATCACAGTCTGAGGCTGGCTTAGCATATGGTGTGTATTTGATATCTATTTCTTAACTGACAATATGAAATCATGTTTTCAAAAGAAATTGCAGAATGACAGGAATAGTAGTGAGGTTTACCAATTTAAGATAAGTACTTTACAAATGATTCAACTATGCACTTGGGTAACTTCAATGTCTTTAATTATTTTGTGTTGTCAGATGTTTATGGTATTTACTAACTGGGATTAAGCAAAAACTCCTGAACTTGTGTTATTTATTTGGGGTCGAAACAAATAGTTTCTAGACAAAGGTTCATGCAGATACACATACTTTAAAACTCACAGAATATGGGTGTATGTGGATGGGTGTGCATATATTCTTAGTATATACCCTCTATATCTCTATATGCACATATATAAAAATCAGTGCTTTGCTTGTCAAAAGTCAGGTATGTATCAATTCGCTCCACATTATCATTGTTCCCTTTGTATTTGTTTCTCTTGCCTTACACTAACTTTGAAAATGAGATATCTTGTTACCTTTTGTGCTCTGAAAACAAGTGAGTTGCTTCAAGGCTGCCACACATTATCAAGATGAGAAATTTCTGTAGTACCTTCCATTACACTTATTCCTGAATCAGCATCAAAGTATAGTCATTGCATGTGAACATTTTTTGCAATTTCATTGTTTATACATTTTAAAATGTATGCTTTCATGCTTTCCGTCCAATGCTAGTGTGACCTGAGCCTCAGTCACTAAGTTGTTAGGGATTTCCATGTTATCAGAACTCTCAGACTTCTTTTTGCTCTTCTTTGTAATAGTAAAATGGCAACTCATAGAAATAATGTGCTCATCAAAGTTTTCTGTGAGAAAGTAGAGTTTCTAAGTATTCCTTATTTTTGGTAAGTTTTGTACTGCATTCAAAAGTAAGCAATGGTGTGAGATATGTTAAAACAATTACTTGAAAGAGAATTAATGTAATTTTCTTCAATACTAATGATCACGTTTCTCCTAGCTTCTCTCCATGTCCTCAATTTATTTAAAAAACTCTTCGAGGTGTATACTGGTAGTTTGCACCTGTAATCCTAACTAATCAGGAGCCTGAGATCATAGCAATAATAACAAGGAGATGTACAAGACATTATGTTGTAAATGAACTTTAGGGTGTGGGGGGCAGGTGTTGGAGGGAGGAGTTAGGGAGGTGGCAAGGGAAGAGATGGTAGGGGAAAAACAAAAGAGGAGGTAACAATGCTCCATGGGAAATATACTCATTACCTTATTCATGGAACTATAACCCCTCTGTACCATATTTTTACAATAAAAAATATATCCAAAAAGACTAATGAACCCACTCTTGTAAAGCAAAAGAAAAAAAAATTGAAACCAGCCCAGGAAGTCTGGGTGACACTTGTGTCCAATTACTTGGCAAAAAAAAAGAAATGGAGCTGTGGCTCCAGTGATAAAACAAATTAAAGGTCAGGGATAGCACCCAGGCCCTGAGTTCAAGTGACAAGACCAACACACACACACACACACACACACGTAAAACAAAAATATGTGTTATATATATTAATATGTCAGTTGAACCGTGTATACGGTTCAACTGACATATTAATATAACACACACACACACACACACACACACACACATATAATGGGGCTTGAACTCTTGCTTAGCTGTTCTGTTTCTTAATGGAACTCTACAGCTCGAACCCTGCCACCAGTTCTGATATTTTTTTTGGCCCATTAGCAATGCCAGTCTCTAAGGATTGTTTCCTGAGGATTGCTTTTAGCTAGGAACCTCAGTTCTCAGCTTCCTGAGTAGTTGGGATTATAGGCATGAGCCAAGGACAACCATCTGTATTATTGTAGACCATTTCAGTATTTATTCTTTCTTTTTTTCATTGAATTCAAGACCTAGGAACTGTCCCTAAGCTATTTTGCTTAGGCTATCACTCTATCACTTTAGCCACAGCTATACTTCCAGGTTTTGGTGGTTAAGTCTCATGGATTTCGCTTCCTAGGTGGCTTTATTTATTTTTATTTTATATATATATATATATATATATATATATATGTATTAAAGATACTGTACAGAGGGGTTACTGTTACATGAGCAAGGTAATGAATCCATTTCCTATGGAGCATTGTTACCCCATTCTTTATTTTTCCCCTACCATCCCAATCCTCCCCACATCCCCAACTCCTACCACCCTCCACCCCCAAAAAGTTGTAAAGTTCATTTTCAACATAGGGTCTTGTACATCTGGTCATCCTGTATTCTTTTTCCAACATTTTGTTACTTCCTTTCCTCTCCCCAAATTAGAAAATGTATATACAAGAAGTGGGACACCAGAATCAAATACAGTAACAACAGGGGTTATACCATGGGAGAAGAACATACAAAGAATCAAACAAAAAAAATCACATAGTACATTAGAAGTGCATTAAAAAGAAGAACAAGAAAGATAAAAATCTCTTGTGTCCCTATCTTGTGGTTCATTTCACATATATGGTCATATGTACACTGCTTGTCCTAGACAAGTTATGGCAAATAAGGGAAGCCATGGGACCTATGCTTCTTTGGGCCTGACTTACTTCACTTAATATAATTTTTTCCAAGTCATTCTGTTTCCTAACAAGTGGGACAGTGTCATTCTTTCTGATGCAGGCATAGAATTCCATTGTGTGTGTATATATATATATATATACCACATTTTCTTGATCCATTCATCTACTTAGGGGCATCTGGGTTGGTTCCATAACTTAGCTCTGGTGAATAATGCTGCAATAAACATAGTTGTGCTAGTTGGTAGCCTTAGTACAGCCTTGTTTGTGATTGTTTGGGTAAATGCCCAAAAGTGGGATTGTTGAGTCACAGGGGAGCTCTATGTGGAGTCTTTTGAGGAACCTCCATACTGCTTTCCAAAGTGGTTAAACAAGTTTACATTACCACCAACAATGCAGTAGGGTTCCCTTTAGGCCACATCTCGTCCAGCATTTGTTGTTATTAGATTTCTTCATTATAGCAATTCTAAATGTGGTGAGGTGAAATCTCAATATTGTTTTAATTTACTTTTCTATTATGGCTAGAGAAGTGGAGCATTATTTCGTGTGTCTATTGGCCATTTTTATTTCCTCTTCAGAGAAGCCTCTCTTTAAGTCTTAAGCCCATTTATTAAGCAGGCGGTTGTTTCTTTGAGGATTTCTTGTTGGGGGGTTTAATTTTTTTTTAATTCTAAGTATATTTTAGATATGAGACTCTTGTCCGTTGTTTGGCTGGTGAAGACCTTCTCCCAGTCCGTGGGCTTTCTATTGATCTTGTTTGATATTTCTTTTGCCATGCATTTTGCAATTTCATGCAATCCCATTTGTCCAACCTTTCTTTGATTTGTTGTGTTTCTGGGTCTCTATTCAAAAAATTTCGGCCTGAGCCAAGGAGACCTAGGGTTTCTCCTATTCCATCCTGTAATGTTTTCAGAGTGTCTGCTTTTACTTCAAGGTCTTTGATCCATTTGGAGTTGATTCTGGTGCATGGTGATATATAAGGATCTAGCCTTAGTTTTCTACAGGTGTTTAACCAATTTTGGCAGCACCATTTACTAAAGAGGCTGTCTCTCTTCCATTCTATTTTTTTAGCTCCCTTATCGAAGATTAGGTGGCTATAGGTCTTTGGGTTCATTTCTGGGTCTTCAGTTCTATTCCATTGGTCCTGAGGTCTGTTCTTGTGCCAGTACCAAGCTGTTTTGATTACTAAGGCTTTGTAGTAGAGTTTGAAATTTGTTATAGATATTCCTCCTTCACTATTCTTTCTTCTAAGGAACATTTTTGCTTTTCAGGGTCTTTTATTGTTCTATCTGAATTTTTGGATTGCTTCTTCTATTTCCTTGAAGAATGAGGTTGGCATATTGATAGGTATTACATTGAATTTGTAAATAGCCATCGGAAGTATTGCCGTTTTCCCGATGTTTATTCACCCAATCCAGGATCATGGGAGGTTTCGCCACTTCCTAGTTTTCCTTTAATTTCCTTTTACGGGCTTTTAAAGTCTTCATCATGAAGGTCCTTTACTTCTTTAGTTAGTTCCTTACTTTTTAGTTAATTTTATTTTTTTGTGCAGCTATTAACAAAAGGAGTTGCTTTCCTGATTTCAACCGCATTCTACTAGTTATTGGCATACAGAAAAGCCACTGATTTTTGAGGGTTAATTTTGTATCCTGCTACTTTAGCAAAGTTTCAGATCACCTCGAGGAACTTGGGGGTAGAATCCATGGGATTCATTAAATACAAGATCATGTCATCTGCAAAGAGGGAAAGTTTTACTTCATCTTTCCCTATTTGGATCCCCTTTATGTTTGCAACTTGTCTTATTGCTCTTGCTAGGCATTCTAATACTAAATTGAAGAGAAGTGGAGAGAGTGGATATCCTTGTCTGATTCCTGAATTTAGATGAAATGGCTTTAGCATTTCGCCATTAAGTATTATACTGTCTGTAGGTTTTTCATACACAGTCTTTATTTGAAGTCTATTTTATGTGAGATTAGGATTGCAACTCACACCTCTTTATGGGGCCGTTTGCTTGGTATATTTTATTCTAGCCTTTCACTTTCAGATATATTTGATTTTGTGGGCAAAATCAAGTGTGTCTCTTGAAGGCAGCAGATAGAAGGATGTTTTTTGGTCCAACTAAACAGTCTAAGTCGCTTAATTGGAGAGTTAAGTCCATTAATATTGAGAGTTAGGACTTAGCGGTGTTTGGTAGTTCCTGCCATGTTATCTACCTTCCTGTGGCCTGTGCCAACTGGGTTCTTCTAATGCCTCGTGGACTCTTGGCCTTTATTGTGCTCTTGTTGGCTTTTTATGTGTAGGACATCTTTAAGTATATTTTGTGGGGATGGTTAGGTGGAGATATATTATTTCCATTTTTCTTTGTTGTGGAAGATCTTTATTTGACCTTCCATTATGGAGGAGAGTTTTGCTGGATACAGTATTCTTGGTTGATATTTGTTTATCTTTAGGGTGTGGCATACATCATTCCAAGTTCTTTTTGCTTTAATGTCTCTATTGAGAAATCTGAAGTTATTCTGATTGGTTTCCCTTTGCAGGTGATGGATCTTTTCTCTGTTCTGGTCTGTTCTATTTGGGGTTCTAAACGATTCTTGTATCTATTGCGTGTTTGGGAAGTTCTCTGCTAGGTTCCTCTTAAATTTCCTAGACCATTAACTTCTGTGTCTAAGTGCTTCTCTACACCCATTACCTTCAGAGTAGGCCTTCTGATGGTGTGTTTTGTTGTTGTTGTTGGTCATGGGGCTTGAACTCTGGGTCTGAGCACTGTCCCTCAGCTCTTCAGCTCAAGGCTAGTGCTCTACCATTTGAGCCACAGCACCACTTCCAGTTTTCTGAGTGGTTTATTGGAAATAAGAGTTTCATGGGCTTTTGTGCCTGGGCTGGCTTTGAACCATAATCCTCAGATCTCAGCCTCCTGAGTAGCTAGGATTACAGGCATGAGCCACCAGCACCCGACTTTCTGATGGTGTCTTCTAAATGTTGAATAGATTTATCATATTTCTTGGATTTGTCTTGAATAATTGTCTCTTCTTTCTCTATAATATCTAGGCTGTCTTCAATCCCAGAGATTCAATCTTCTGCGTGGTCTAATCTATTGTCAAGACTTTCTACTTTGTTTTTTATTTCCTTTCCTTCTAATTGGTCAGATTTGATGGCTTCAAGGTCTTCGTTGGAGCTTTGTTTTAGACCTTGTATGGACTTCTTTACTTCCTCAATTTGGTTTTCAGTGTTCATTCTCAAATCCCTCAGTTGATTGGATATTGTTTCACTGGACTCCCTTTCCTTCTTTTGGGCTTCATTCAGCATTCCCTTTGTGGTGTCCCTGGATTCCTCCAGCTGGCTGTTTGTGGATTCCATGAATACCTCCATTAATCTTTGTCTATTCTCATCCTGCTTATGCAATTCCTCTATTAATCTTAGATTAGCCTCATCATGCCCACAATATCCTTGTATTAATCTTTGGTTAGCCTCATCAAGCTCACAAAATTCCTGTATTAATCTTTGGTTAGCCTCATCATGCTCATGATATTCCTGTATTAGTCTTTGCTTAGCCTCATCCCACTCACACATTTCCCCATCACACTCACAGTGAGACCTTTGCAGGCTTTCAAACTTTTCATTCATCATATTTACCAGTAGTGTTTGTAGAGAATTTTGGGAACTCTCCTCTGGGTTACTCATTGACTGCACTGTTGCCTGATTGTCATGAGTAGGAGTTGAAATACCTGGACTTGCCATTTTTCTTGTCTTTCTGCTTGTTCTGCCCATTTGGATATGATAGCAAAACCAATTCCAAGCTAGAACACTATTTTAAGGCAAGCATCAACCAGAACCCTATAGTTGCAAAGATTGTTTGATTCAGTCAAAATGAGTACAGATACAATCTAGTTCAACACATATGATCTAGTTCAACAACAAACAACTAGGGATCAGTGGACTAAGAAAAATCAAAGGAGTTAGCAAACCCAAAATTAATAGGTTTAGGAAGAATTGTGAGGAGAATATAAGTTTAGAGGAATGTAGGGAGGGAAAGAAAGAGAGCAATTCAGAGAGAGGGAGGAGACAGAAGGAAAGGAGAAAGGTGAAAAAGGAAAAATAAAAAATTTAAAATTAAACACAAAATTATATAAGTATAAAGAAATAATTCTATAATTAATGGAGTTAAGGCTGAGAGTTTGTGAATTAGTCAATTAGTATCTGATTTAAGTATGCACACAATGGAGGATAAGATCTAATAATCCAAGACAGGTATATATCTGTGGATGAACAGAACAGCAATTAAGTAAAGCAAAGAAAAAGGACCAAGGGCTGGGAAGGTGGCTCAGTGGTAGACTGCTTGCCTTGCATTCATGAGGCCCTGGGTTCGATTCCTCAATACCACATAAGTAGAAAAAATCCAGGAAGTGCTGCTGTGGCTCAAGTGGTAGGGTGCTAGCCTTTAGCTAAAGAGCTGAGCGACAGCACCTAGTCCCAGAGTTCAAGCCCCATGACCGACCAAAAAAAATAAAAAAAAGGACCAAAGGGAAAAGAGTATAAAGAGAATATTAAAAAGCAGAAAAAGAAACAAAAACAGCAACAACAACAAAAACCTAAAAGAAAAATGAAAAAAATAGGTAGAAAAAAAGAGGTCTTTGAATTTGTTTTTTTTTTGGGGGGGGGCGGCAGATGGCAGATCTTGTGTCTCCCTGTGTCTGTAACCAGTCTCTTGGTGGAGTCTCTGGTTTGCTTGTGGTGTTTGGTTTTTCTGTGGCTTCGTTTGTTCTTAAATTAGTTTGTTTGAGCAGGCTGAAGAAGCTCTGCCTTACCCAGGAGTTTATGTCCCTTCTCCCAGGCTAGTTCGGTGGAAGGGTGATATACTTTGAGTATCACAAAAGAACAAGGTGGCTCTTTCCCCTAGCTTGCAGTTGCTGTGAGGAGTGCTAGGTTGTAGGTAGGGCTGTGGCCTGTCAGCAATCAGTAACTTTACCCTGATGGGCTAGCTCCTGAGACACTCAATCAGCCCAGCTTGGAGCAAATCTCAGGATTTATGTGTAACAAGTTTCTAATTGCTCTAGGGGTAGAGTTGCTGCTTGTGCTGCAGCTGGGTAGGGTAGCCTCTGGCTCTGTTTACCCACTAAGGAGAGTATGTCCCACTCACACAAGAGCTGCCTCTGCTTGGGAAGGGTAACTTTCACCAGGGGTGGAGCTGAGTCCTGCTGCAGGTCAGATTCCTGTGATCTGTTTAATGGCTCTTACTGTCTTCTTCCAAGGGCTAAGTTACACTAGCTGCTCTGGCCCAATCTGTGTCAGTATCAAAGATGGTGGGGGAAGGGCTACCTTCCAACCACTGCTCCTTGAGAAGGAGTGAGGATGTATTGGGCATACTCACAGCTTTCCTTTGGTTTGGGGGCCATCCACATCCAATGTCTGTGACTGTCTGTGGTCAGCAAGATAAGGATTTCTGCTCCTTGTCAGTTCTTGCTGAAGGTGAGTAAAATCTGCTCATGTCGCTACTAGCACATTTCTCCCAGGCAGTCTCTGTTGATATAGTGGCTAGCAGCAAAAGCCACTGCTGCTTCTGCTACCACTGCAAACTGGGGATGCTTGAATTTGTGTCCTTAACTAAGCTGCCTAAGTTTTTCCTCTCTGTCCAAACTCTGTACTATGATGACACACTAAGTGTGACTCTCTAGCCTTAGATTTTCAACTGGAATACTAAAACTGGTTTCTATGTGAGAACTTGCTTAGCCCTCAGTTTCTCCTCTGCCATCTTCCTGCTCCCCCCCCCCTTACTTGGTTTTAAACTGCAATCCAATCCTTAGATTTCAACCTCTTGAGTAAGGTGTGAGCCATCAGTGTTGGTCTCATTATGTCTTATAATATAAATCTACTTTGTTTTTACCCTGTTTAACTTTGAATTGAAGAATGTCATGCCCTCTTTCTTCTTCCTTAGGAAATGCCAAATGTTTATAAGTATTTTATGACTTATAAGAATATTTTATATGTTATTTTGTAACCACTATTTTTCCAGTAAGTAAAGTCATTGGTGATTAAATTACTGAAGAGTCTTCATGACAATAAAACTGTTTACAACTAAGAAAAAAAAAGAAAATTATAAAACTTTCATGTTAGCCTTTGCTGTTTAATATCCTTTTCATTTTGTATTTGTCAGTATTGATTAGTTTTTGTATATTTAATTTGAGCAATTTTGTACTATTTTATTTTCCTTTTTAGTACTTCCTTTTCCATTTCTTTCCTATGCAGTCATTATATGTCAGCCATGACACCCAGGTTTCAGTACTCAATCTTAAAGTATACCTTCTCCTTTTCTCTCTTATCATCCTCTGGTATTCATAACTTCCTCTGTCTACAATTAGAACTGATCTGTCACTCATATTTTCTTTATCTCCCCATCAATAATTCTTCATTAACTATATTTCCAGTAGGTAAACAGATGGCCAGGTTGCATTTGCTTGTCTGTTGGCTTCTCCTCCTTTTTCTCCTTTTGTCCTCAATATGATATTAACTATGTCTTTCCACCAATCTCAATTTCCCTTTATTTTCCTTTTTTTTCTTTTGCTGGTCTTGTGGCTTGAAATCAGGACTTGGGTTCTGTGCTTGAACTTTTGTTTTCATGGCTAGCGCCCTGCCACTTGATCCACAGTGCCACTTCTGGGGTAATTAACATATTTATAAGATTATTTCTTTGTTGCTTTGTATGGCCCTCCCCCACGGTATAACCCCTGCTTTCACTGTATTTGGTGTTGGTATAATTTGTGGAGGGGAAGGGAAAAAATAAATCGTTTAAATAGGGATACAG